TAGCATATCTTGGTCATCATCACGGCCGGCGTAATATCAGTTTGCAACGCTAATGCATCCCTCCGTTGCAGCATATCGGATACTTTTTACATTTTCTGGAGAAATAGTTCCTTCAGTACATTTTCCTAATTATTTTCAACCAAGGCGAAAACGTAAAATGTACTCCATATAGTTTGTACTGTCAAACAGGCATGAAGATCCTTAGTTCAGTTCAGTTCAGATTTTACAGTCCATCCCTAGGTAAAAGTGAGACTGCAAGAATCCGTTTCATTTCTTCGAGCACTGAACGTGTAACTTTCTTCTGACTCCTTCTAAGCAAATTTCGAGTTATGATATTTCTAGCATACCTACCCGTTGACATAGACTTCAAAATATTATGGAAATCAGGCAGTAAATGAGAAATTGCATAGCGAATATTCATGCTGGTGACTATGGGTCTATAAAGGAAGTCTATATACTTCACACTTGCTTCACTGGCCACGTTTTTTGACAACCCAAGTAGACATTTCGCTCTGAGTCAGAGGTAATCAGTACTACGGCACTCGAAGACGTAAGTTTGCCTTTTGGGTAGAGAGATGAGTTTAAGGCCATCACCACATCGACCTATGACATATGTGCATATATCATATGCGCAACAGGACGCCATTCTTGTTTCGTTCCTTGGAAACGTAGTGCTCCCAACAGTTTAGCATGTATTGTTATTCTAGTGAAAATGTATCTCGCATTTCGCGCAGAATACAAGGTACTGGATTGATAGGATTGTCGCTAAGCGTAGCAAATTTCGTGCCAAACTACAGTTACTACCAACAGGGTCGTTACTTGACTTCATGTGTCCTTTTGATCACAGTGTTAGTTGATGCAACCTGACTGAAACCACCTCTGGTGTTTCAAGCGCAAGTAGAATCTGAATGACTGGGGGCAGCACTGTATGTCAAAAAACAGGAACCTACCGCGATGTGATGGCTTATGTACCACTGTGACCCACTTAGCTATACTGAGCGGTGTCCGTGCTACATGCGCTCCAGGTCAGTAGTTAGAGATCTGAACAACATGGTCTCCCAGTCCACTAGGTTGGGGGTTGGAACATGTGTGGTGACTTGTTCTGCAAAAGTTGAAATGCATTTGTATTTCCCGCCAAGCACTACTGCTTTGTGAACAGGCTTCTGAGCCTAACGCTTTGGTTGAAGACCCTAATCGTCCTCTTGTCTAGGTGTATGCATCCTGGCCGTATTCCGGCCCACGTGCAACCATGAATTGTACTCACACAAATAAGCTCACGCCACATCGGCCGTCGCGTAGTGCCATTAGCCGGATCGATTTACCTGCTGCATACGGCGTTCGCCCCATTAATAAACGTTTCCTTGTAGACCAAACACTTAGACCCAGTGACTCCGTTCGTTCAGCATAAGTATTCCGGGCAAATATGCGCGTCATCCACTGCCAATATCCTCAGGCTTCTCGAAATCAATTTTCAAGCTTCGACGCCTAGCCTATATGGCTGCCTACAATGTCCGTACTTCCAAGCAAACAAGTCAACAAGCCGCTCTTGCTCTCACGCTCGACTCAGCGTGATATGTTCTGCATCTCAGAAACAGGAATTCAAGATGCAAGCACAGTGACTGGGCTAGCCGCCCCATCAGTCTCCACTCGCTTCCGGTTGCGCAATTCTGGTGATCCAGAGGCTGATGCGGTGGGACGTACAGGGGTTGGTATTGTCCTGAGTCACCGGGTGGAAGGATCCTTGCTTGTCTGAATACCCGTTGACAGTCGCCTCTGCGCAGTTCGTCTGGTTACATCTGTAAAAAAGTCTCACGAGTGGAAGTTGTTGAATTTCCGCTTGTCGCACCTGTTTACTCTCAAACCACTATAGCTCTAATATCATCGAAGACAAGTTTTATGGCGCCATGAATGTCTTTTTGCAGCGGGCTAAAAGATAAGATATAGTTGTGGTTGCCGGAGATCTGGATGCACAACTGGGCAGGCATAGCGCATCTTCGACTCTACATGGTGGTTGGCATAGACTGGACCAGGAAGGTACGGACACTGGCGAATGATTGCGTCAGCTGTGTGCGGACAGGAGGCTGTTTTTATGCGGTACCAACTTTCAAAATCGCCGAATTCGTTTGGCCACATTGTGTCCTTTAACGCCTGGTTGGCTACGATAACACTGCGACCAGTTACCGGTGGCGCGACTCAATAATTTAAGGACACCCATTGTAGAACATAAATGTGGATTCCGACCACGAGTTTGTCCGTGTAACGTGTCGACAAATGGCTTAGCAACTGGGAGACTGGGAGATCCAGATGGTTGATGAATTCACCAGAATCATCTCCTAGAGTCACTTCCAAGTACCCCACCATCAGAGGTGAATTAATATTGGGACGCGACTACCACCTCTTTGCACAGTGCTGGGACGTTTGCCTGTAGCACGGCACTACAAGGCCCAGCTAAGCACTAAATATCAGACCAAACAGTGACACCGCTTAACTCTCGGAGAAATTTCACAGCTGGTCCCAAACATAACTTTAGGCGACGGATTCCCCGGCATCAAGTGAAGGAGCTTGCGCTTCGATCGTGAAGTCTAGTGAACTCGGAAAGCTTAAGAGAAATGGAAAAAGTCCAGAGAGTCGGTAGTGACCGAAGACAAGACTCCTGGCATCCCTTGTGTTTCGTCGCCTTATCGTGACTCGTTTAACACCGACTCAATGGCAGCAAGAGGGATTCCGGCTAGGCAGGTTTTGCGTTGACCAAGTCTTCACACTCCGTCAGGTACTAGAACAACGCCATACGTACAAAACCCACAATATTAGTATTGCTGGTTTCCTGGGCTCATTTGACCCGGTTGACGATCTGTGTTTTCAAGTCAAAGAATGCCCGGAATTTCGTGAACATAATACGTCCTTTGTATTCTCAGATTTCCAGACGTGTGAGAGTATACGAAGTGCTCCAAACGTTTCCGCACATAATGTGGTGTCCGTTGGTGGTGCCCACTCTCTCCATTCTTGTGTAATTTCGTGATCAAAGAGATAATGGAACGCACGCTGGAAGGTATTCAAAGCCCTGGTGTTCAGATAGCTTCTGACGAAAACCTTGTCGATCTAGAATATGCTGGCAATGTCGTTCTCATCTTAGAAGAGGAGAAGGTGCAAGTGTTTTTGGATGAGCTGACCATGGTCATCCCGTCCTTTGGTATGCACTTTGCACCCACGAAGTGTAAGGTCATGCTCGTGGATGTGCACTCACTGAACACGCCACTCACAATTCAGAGATGGGCACCTAAATTTGCGGGGTATTTTACGTACATTGAAAGTGATTGTAGTGTGACGGATGTGGTCAATGCACTAATCTGCAAGGCTCGGGTTGAGCTTGCTAATTGTGGACACCTATGGCGTCGAAGCGGTATACCCCTAAGTCTGAAAGGGCGTGTTTATCAGTCTACATTTCAGGCCGTCTTGCTGTGTGGCTGAGAGACTTGGCCTGTCGAATCAGTGGAAATGAGATGTCTTCAGGTGTTCAGCAAACATATTTCATGGCCATAACTTGTGTGGATTGGTGTCAGAAAATCATTAACGAGGCAATTAGAAAACGAGTTTTCGGCTGTGCAACGGGAGTTTCCATTGAAGCATGCGTCCAGCATGACAAGTTGCGTTTGTTAGCCAGTGTACTGTACTAAACCATAGATTACCGAAGCGAGTGCTGATTTCTGTACCCAATTCAAAGTGGCGGAAGCAGCGAGTAGCCAACTCTTGACCGTGCATGAGATTGTGAAAAGTTTGGGTGCTGTTGGTGCTACTCACTTTCCAGGAATCGGGGAGATTGACCCTCACTGCACCTGGTTGGAGGAGATGCAAGATATGGCTGCTAATTGATGTCACTGACGTACTTGTTGCCAGCTTCCATCCGGTCTAATGATTGACCGGAGGTGTAGACACCTCAGAATGATTGCAGTAAGCTATTACTAAGTCCCTTCGTCGTCCGCTTTTGTTTTTTCCTTCACAATAAGTATTTCAAATAAACAATAATCGTACGGCAGCATCAGTGATGAACACTGATGATGTTCTGTCGATGATGATGAGGTGGCACTCATTAAATCGCATCGGATGACTAGTCAGGGTTTGCTCGGCGTTTAATGTCGATCAAGTGGTTTGCAACCTTGCTGGTCACGTATTTGGCTTCTCTGACCTTACTGGAAGACATAAAATACTTGACTATTCTCTGGGCTAGACGACGAGACGTAGGACCCACAGTTTGTGCATCACTCAGAAATGAGGTTATTGATTAAAAATCGTAAATCTTGGACCAGCAGTTAGGCAGCAGTGCTGCTCGGAATGTCCTTCAGAATGAAGCAGGTTATCGATGTATGGAAGTTTTGGGAGCTTTGTCACTTATAAAAGGCAACCGTATTGCTGCGACGTCAACAAACTGTAAACTGTCAACAGATTCATCCTCCGCACCGAATCTGAGTGCAGACTGTGCAGAGTTCCATCAGGCTAGTCAAAGGAACCGAGGGTTGCAAATATGAAAAAAAAATAGCCGGTAAAATGTCAACTGTTTAATCATTTGACTCAAACATATGATGCGTTCTTACACATAAACATGTCAATCACAAGGTGACCGAGTAGAGAGCTCATTTCCAGTTCGTCTCTCTTTCTGTATATTTGTATATCATTGTAATTCAGTTAGTGCTTTTGAATGTTTATCTGACTCGGATAAGATCACCTGAAAAAATTCATCCCTACAGCGTGTCCTATATTCCCTTCAGACAAACATTTTTTGGAGGGGGGCTCGAATACTGAGTCCACCACTTGTTTTGGAATAGACCTGGACCAAAAATCTGACCTTTCTGACAAATCTTCACCTAGTCCTTCCAACTGACAATATGGATCTCATTGTAAATGACTCAATGTAAATGATTATCGTATGTGAATACACACACCTGCCAACTCTAACCGCGAGCCTCATGCGAAAAGTCAGGACGCTCAAATTAGGTAGAACTTACGTGATAGCTTTCTCCCGAGCATCTAGATCCGGATCAACAAGACCAACACAAATCGACGGAACAACACATTGTGTGTGCCCCTTGGTTGTTCTAACCTTCCAGTAGACATCATCAGTCGTAAGCTGTTCTTCCAACTCTTTATTTGAGAGCTGAGATCGTGGACGGACTTTGTGCGTTGACCATGGACTCCATGAACCAGGACAAATGCCATCCGCATAATTGTTTCTAGCTCCACGTAGACTTCTGTGGTGAAAAACTGCACCAAGAATGCGGCTGCTGTTGTTCATGATGTGCACATCAGAAAGAACGGACACATGATCACCGGTGTTTAAGTTACCTTCCAGAGATTTGTAGTCGCATAACATCACCCCATTTAGTGGATTTTTAATAGGTGCCACACGCAAATAGATGGGACTTATTTGGCGTGAACGTGAGACCAAGCTGGTAGCATGTTTTGCCAGACCGTTCAGTTGGTCATAGTGATTCTGAAGAAAATAAACAGGGAAATACTGAAACTTTGCTATCCCAGTGCCTCCGCATTAACTTAGCTCCAAATTCGAATGATCAAGTCCATCAGGTTTGGACGTTTAGTTGCAAACCAAAATGGTGATAATATGAGGCTGAAATACATCTCACGTTTGTGATGTGTTTTTAAGAAGTTTTTGCATTTGACTTATGATTAGTATCCCATCAAGACAAATGCAGGCATTTCTTCTACTAAATGAGGATATGTGTGTGATCCAACTCTGCTTTGAATGAATAACTTGCTGTAAAATCTGAAGCCTAAAGTAATTTTTCGTCTAAATGGTTTTAATTAGCCACAAAAGAGGAACTGAAACACAATGGATATTTCTGTGAAGATTTAATTTATTGCCAGAGGATTTTTTGGAAGCCTATATAACTCTATTCAGGTGCATGCAAAAGCGCCGCCACGTCGGCGTCCTTATCGCTCTGCTTTCACTCGAGATCATACTGCTTGAGCACTATCACCTGCGTTGGATCGGCCATGTGCTGGCCGAATAACAGTCTAATAATTGATCAGGTGGCTGTTGATCTGTTCGTCGAGCTTGGCAATTGATTTGCAAACGTTTCGTCACCATTCGAGGAGACATCTTCAGCGCACTTGCAAATCAATTTCCAAGCTCGGCGAACAGATCAACATCCACCTGATCAATTACCAACCAATACACCCGAGCTACCAATATTCCAACACATTACGAATAACAGTCTACCAAGACGAGTGTTGTTCTCCGTGCGTCTTTCAGAATGGTGCATACCACAAGGTGGACAGTGTACAAATTAGCAGAAGAGAGTGGAAGGGGGCCCGGATGTTGTTCAATTGGTCTGCATTTCAGGAATTGATCCCGGAAACCCTCTTTGCTTGGCCAGATACATCGCAAAAAACCTCGACCGATCGACGTCAGTGGTCTCCGCGCTATTGGTTTCTTTCCTAATGGTTTGATCGAGTGCTTGGAAGTGCACACACCCCAGAACTCTCGCAGTGCGCCCAAAAATTAATAACCGAGCAGGACTGTTCTGTGGGAAAGATGGCCCAATTAGCTAAAGTGCGAATTTACTGGCCGAAATTTCCGTGGTTCGAACTCGACTTCTGCCTGTCGACTTCCCCTGCCTAGGCTTGGACAACCTGACAGTCCCCCAGCCTTCGTGCTTCCTTCTAGTGGCATGGCAGTTTATTATTATTATTATTATTATTATTAAGGTTGTTCTGTTGCTACTTTGTGAAGCATAGACTGACGTTGATCCACTATTCCCTGTATGTTTGCTAATGGCAAAGTTAAAGGAATACGGACTACTTACTGTAGAGATTGCGATTGATGGTTTACAACAAAAAATGAAACGACAGAACTAGAACACAACGTTTCAAACAAGTTCTCATGGATTCGCCATACAAGCATTTTTCTCAAAGTCATGTTTTATGTGGACACTGATAAAATTAGTTTAAACCCACTTGAAGCTTTTTGGCCAAGAATTTAGCCTCTTCTTCAGTTCCGTGGTGAGACTGTTCCGTTTGATATCGATCTCTCGTAACTATTGCTCGACCGAGTTTGTTAAGTTCTAGTTCTATTTTCCGGCCCTCATAGAAGAACTGCAAAAAGTGAAAGCATTGGTAAACTTTAGGATAAGCCCTTCCCTATTTAATTCATCGACTTAAAAGATATGCTTAATTATGAGTAATTCCATCGGCGCAAACGTTTAATCGAACTTTCCAACTCAGTTAGCAAAACAGAATGGTAGATCACAGAACATTCCTAAGATTAATAATAGTAGTACTAGTAATATACTTATCAAACACGAGGCGCTGAAGTCTTCAAAAGTCATCTTGTTCATTTACAAAACAATATATTAAACTATTAAAATCATGCATACGGCAATTTCAGAGAAAAATTTCTTGTGTCAACCCCATTTGAAGTAGGACCAAAGGATTCTGCGTAGAATTCGCGAAAGCCTAACCGTCATGTCACCCCTTGTAGAAGAATTCTGGCCGAATTAAAACCACTTCTCCGCTCTGACGGTTTAAGCCTTTTCTTTTCCATACTTTTCCGCAGGTTGTCTTCTGTGCCAAAAATCACAAGCTTTTTTACAAGCATGTATAGCTTAGTCAGTACACATGTGCTGATTGTATTGTTGGATGGCAGAACTTTTCTAACACAGTTCAAAGACCATTTTGCCCTCCCACAAATACCAACTATAATTTCGTACTTAGACTCAACAGGTTTTTTCGGAAATCAAATAACTTTATCTTTTATTCAGAAGTAGGTATTCATTGTCCGTTTTTGTTTGGTGCAGAGAGTCCCCCACAAGGTGTACTGAATTGGAAATGTATCCATACGCTTAAGATGGCGAATGACGTGAACAGCGTCTCAGATAAATGGTAAATGTACTAATAAATTTTCAAAGCCATTGCAGACACCGATTACGGTTCTTGTTTTATCAGTAAACCGATGAAGTCTCTGAAAAATAAATTTTATCCTCAAGATAATCAAAATCCTTCTAAGAAGTGACCTTGCATCCATGTACATTAGGCCCGTAGCAGTTCCCATAGAATGCATCAGCCAAATGGTGACAGTACAATGTCCGAAGGCTCACTGACAGTGAAACTGAAGTCACCCAGTAGCGACCCGTTCTTTGTGGCCGAACAAAGACCAAAAACATTCTTTATCTTTTCATTTTCTCAGTGGTCCTCACATCTGGAGTTTTTCCATGTCTTGAGCAGCTGAATGCATCACACGCTTTAACAATACATTAACCTTAAACAAGCGTAGAAAACTCAGTCGACTTAGGTTTTATGCTTTTTCTGCATGCAGATAAACACATAGAGGCAACTTCTTAATATAAATGATGGGCACAATATAATCTTGTCGATGATAGATGATCTCAGTCTGTTGATAAACAGGAGGCTTATTCTGCCAACATTTTACAAAACTTTGCCAAATTAACCAGCTGTCTGAACGCACACAATAATTTATTTCAATCAGTTGATTACCTTGACCTTCAGAGTTTGTTTACAACAACGATTGATCATTGCTTGTCAAACTAATGTGGCTTTGGCCGATATTTTGTAGAATAATATCTGCTTTAAACAACGAGCTATTGAAGTTGATAGGAATTACGAATGTAGCATGAAAATATTATGTTTGCTTGTATAACTGGCATGTCGAATTACTGAGAGCGGTCTACTACAGTCAGCTTACCGATCAAATAGGATTTGTTCTTCAGTGGTTTATCCTTTACGCATAAGATGAACTGGGACAGATTTTTTTACTTTTAAGCTAGAAGCAACTCAGTCCGTGCCACTGACGCGTAGCCTATTGCGGGTATTTTAGCAAAAGATCTGTATATAGTAGAGGGTTCACACTCGTTTTACTAGTATCAACCATACCGACGCTTTTGGCTCATGGATATCGAATATGAGTGGACTTCCGTGTGACAAATGTGATCTTGCTTCGCGCGCGATCAGTCGTGTCTCGCTCCAGCCAGCGAATCGATGATGATGTATCAACAGCTAACTGCATAATTCTTATCCCTTCTGCCAGAGTCTGACGTCCGAAGTTCTAGGCAGAATGTGTAGAATATGAAAACTGATAGGCATGGTCAGTTTGATCTCAAAGACGGCGCATTTCAGAGGCAGTATTTCGTCCTGGCAAAATAACTGTTATTTCGTACGATCACAGAAAATTTATTTTTTAGCAGTGTGGTGTGTAAACTGTAAGTGTTTTTCCAGAGAAGGAAAATACTAGACTTGCGTTGGCGAGGCGGCAGCGCGAGATTTTTCCTCATACAGTGCAAACTTACATTGTGAAATTCCGCGGTGGTGTTCAGATGGAAACAATGAAGTAGGCTGTATATCTCCATGTTTTCCCAAGTACTTCTGAACATGTCCGTAAGGTCCTAGCAATCGGAAAAGTGCATACCTTAATTTGAGTGACCGATATATATATATATATATATATATATATATATTGAAATCTGAATGATCCTGAGGTCAATGATTGGATTCTTCACGCTTTTCCAAATATCTTCTTAGAAGGGAAGAAGTATTTTTCCTTGAGAAAACTCAAATTAATAGTTTAGGGTTTTGACAGGTTAGCATGATTTGTTCGGAAAAATCAATATTAGTGCTTAGAGTATGTCATGTGTGGCCGGCTCATGAAAGATTAACGCGGAGTTAAGCGAACTTCAGTGCACTAGCTGTGCCCCCAATCTCATCAAGTTTGCTGAATTTCAACCGTTAATATACATTGAACTATCCAGAGTAAGAGATGTAGGTTTTGTAAAGAACTGCTTAAATTCATCGAGCTAGTTCGCTTGTTGTGGCCTAAAACCCACTAAAACAATCACTTTGTTCCAGATAAATTCTCAGCTACACTTCAGATACACCACCAGACGGTTATAGATTTGACTGAGTGTAACCCACAAAGCTTGTTTGTTTTCGGAAACCAGTAAATTAGGTTGGTTGGACTCTTGTGTACTATTTGTGTAGGTCACCAACCGACTACTGATTTATACCAGACCTCATCACCCAACGCTTGGATAGATCGGTCATTTTTAACTTTATGCTGTGAGCTCCAATGTCTGTAAAACTGGAGGTACTTGCAGAGGAGATTTTTTTATTCACTACAGGCTCACTGGGCATCTGATTAGAGATTATTGTGTCTCTGTCTTTACAATATAATATAGAGTTAAGTCAATTCACTTAACGCAACTAACTAGTCAGTTTAATTAACCGAAGTTAATTTACCTCTGAAGACAAGCTCAGGTTCGTGAAATTCTGTGAAAAACAGCTGAAAGTTGCAGTATTCGGCAGTTTTATACAGTAGAATTTATTTTTTTGGTTTCGCTGCGTTTAAATTGTCGATTTGTTGCTCTCGCAGACATGAAGCCTCAGAATCTTTCATGAAATCGTTCAAGATAAACCGAAATCATCTGAACCAGATATGCGAGTAGGATATCGTTGCAATCGCTTACCACAGAAATCATGTAACAAAGTTATTTATGCAAAGCTCCCAGGCTAACAATTTCTTGGTCATGAGGTGTTTATATGAGCAGCTCTGTGGACTTCTGACAATGTCGGAGTTCGTAAAATGTAACGATCAGTCTGTAGCTGTTGAGTTTCTTGACACTACAGGTGGCTTTGGTCGCAAGTTGCTTTCTTCGAGAACTACCACACGTACACCTACAAGTAGTCTGTTTGGGGCGTGCTTATAAGAAACAAATTCAAATACAGTGACCATTTAATGAATTTATGTCAGTGGCGTGAGAGACCGTTTTCAGATTTATAAGTCACTTGGTTACTTTAGAATGTGATGCCGAATGAAAGTCTCGTCCAACATAGTGCTTGCACGAAGCCGCTTTGTCCATACCTAACTCTTTTCGGCTTTATACTAAGATTCACGCTTAAGTATTCAGACTGCTTCCAGTGGTAAAAAAGACAATTCAATATAAAACGTTTTGAAACATCTTGTTTGCCGTCTGCTACAGTAACCGTTGCTCAGCAAGTATCAACCCCCAAACAAAGGACAATGTGCTTATTGGGATAGTAATTCGTTCGATAAAGTGCATCAGAATGCATCCGAAAGCACACATGTTGAATACAGCAAGAGCATAATTGTCCACTCTTGCACCGCATCTACAGTGTTATATTGCCACACCTGAACGCAGAGGGCGAGTGTTTTCAGTAAGCAAAAAAGCGAACAGAATCAACCTTGACAAAGATGAATGGCTAGAAAAAGAAATCAGACCACCAGATTATCACTTTTCTCAAGCCACACCGTTACGGGTAATTTCATTACCATTTGTGCTTCTCGCCGATTATGATATCAAAAGTGAACCGGTTAATGTGCATGTTAAAATACCAAAAATATATGAGGCTATGAGTTGGTGCTTGCGCGCAATATCTAGTGCAAATCCCAGGTGGAACAGTATTCAGAAAACAACAAACCTGGTTCCAAAATCCTTTGCTCCATTCTCGCTCCTGCAAATCCAAAGTCCGTTTGATAGTTTTCGTCACCTGTTTCTAAATATTCACAAGCAATTGGGACGTCATCGAAGCGCTCATTTCGACCTACCGATAAACCGTCCACTGGCGCTGTCAAACCAGTGAGATATTTCAAGCAGTCTTTATTCACCCTAACGGCTCGCTAAAAACACAATCCAAAGGACATGAGTTTCAACCGAATCATATAATTACTCGAAGTCTTCGTAATTCATCTGCCACATTAGGGACCTAAAACGCAAAACAACATAGGTTTACTTCCTTCTATCAGGAAAATGATTTTGAAGCGTATATGATGGGGTGTCGTCGAATGGGTATGGTAAGACACACTGAAAGATGCAATCGAGATTTTTAAAAATCTGTATCGTGATGCTAGAAATACACCTTATCTCCCTTTCCTGTTAAATAAATTAAACCAAGAGTGGACGTGGTTGAGTTTTGTTCAGATTAAAGACGGGAGATGAGTGTAGCCAAACTCTCTGAATAGCGAATATCTGGGAACTGAACCAGAATGTTTTCCCCTCAACTTATTTTCTGTCCGTCTCTTGGCGCAGTGTTATCTCGCGCTATAAAGAATCTTAGTGCCGTTGGCGCTCTCTCCAAAAGAAGATTTTATTCGCTTTCTTGACATAACGCCCTATTCATGGTTTTCTGAAAAATCTTTCACAGCCCACGACTAGTTTCGTTTATCTTGTGACTCATTAGATGGGCTTATTTCCCGCATTTCCGGAAAAAAATCTTAAATCCTGCTTAAGCACCTAGTTGTACTCAGCTCCCAAAATATACTCATTTGCAAGCAACATTGGTTGTATTGAAAAATCCAAACAAATCTCGCGTTCGTGGTGCCATTTAAAAAAATATGCTATAGGAATTTCGTTTTGTGTTTCAGTTTCCACGACATTTGAGATATCGCAGCTCAAGTACATCACAGAGTCACTCGTTCAAAAACAGCATCGGTTGAAAATGAGTGTATTAAGGCAAAGTTTTGACCTAATATTTCGCTCATGCTAATACAATTCAAGGTCACTATACTCAACGTTCTTTCTGTAGAAGAAATGTAGGTTTAGGCAGTAATGACGTCTTAATTTGATCAGCACTGATGTGTTGTCGAACTCAGGGGAAGACAAGATATGTGGGTTCGTCACGGTTTTTTGCGCAAGACATTTTCAGCATATCTATTGATTTATTACACTATTAGGTGGATAGCACTGGTTTTATTAATTTTCTGGATCATCATTTTTACTGGTGCACAAGTATCGATACTAATCATTCTCTGAACTTCTTGCGCGGTCTAGACATGGGCGACGGCAGCACCTGAAATGCATTCTGAGCCCATAACTCCTCGAGTCTTGCCACATGGTTATATAGTTTCAGCAGGATAGATAGATTTGGTTAATGCCTGAGAGAGTGTCCATCATAAGACGTTGATGGTGTTGTTGTCATGCGCTTGAATTCTCTTGTATTTTCGATCGGGGAAATCCAGTGGAACCTCACTTTGTTTCTGATAGCATCTCGCACTGCTGTGTATGCAGGCTCACATGGGTGTAAGCTAGCGCTTGCTCATTCTTCATCAAACAAGTGACAGCAACCTAGAGACAAAGACCCAATCTGTAAACCCTTCAGGGACAAACAACCTCGGAGAGTATTCGTCCAACCATGAGTAAACCATATTTGATAAATAAAAAAACTATTACAAATCTCGCACAATCAGTTGTACCTTGGTATTGATGTACGGATGTTTGCAGCATGTTCATACACGCGTGTCTCCATACCAAAACTCTTACCTACGTTGGGATTCATCTTATCGGACTGGTACTGTCTATGGCAAGACTTTGAATGAGACATCTCTCTTTTATCTCATATTCGCCTGTTACCCCTTCGCATTCATCGCTTGCACTCATTTTTTATGTCTGTGACCATGCTCTTCAAAAATGAGCGATAATAATCTAGTAAACTTTAAAACAACTACTGGAAACGCTGTTCTATCCGACTGCGCCATTGTGGAGCAATATTACATAGATCTTAATCAAGATTCTGTTTCCAAAATGCCAAATCATTAAAAAATTTTTATGGTAGATGCTGTTCAAGAAAACACTTCCTAATGAAGGCAGCACAATGCGGCATACCTGTGATCACATCTATAGTCACTAACCCTTTTACTTAGGTGGCGTTACAAAATACTTCTCGATGGCAGATGATGGATAGAGGGTAATTGAAGTCATAATGAGACTGACAATAGGAAATCTATTTCATGGAATTTGTTACTAATCACAACATTTGACTCTGTTGATGAAGTAACCTACACTGCTGAACGATGAATGCTGACAGACGCACCTGGATGCGACTTGCTAATTTTTGTTTACATTTGAAAATAATGAGACGTGGAAAATATTTTCACAGTCGGCGAATACCGCTCGTTTACTACGAATTAGACGGAACGTAATCTGATCAGACAAACGCGGTCAATAGCTCCTAAAGCAGCGACTGAAGGTATATACTGAACATGATCAACTTGTCATTGTAGTCGAGCTTTAGTGTTACAATGGTCCTGTGGGATATACGGACTTAAACTCAGTACTCAAAAGTTCAGCCGCAAAGGTAAGACCAACGATAAGCATCTAGACGAAGGAAAGTGACTCTTAGTACTACGAGATATCGCATTACGAGGCGGTCTTCGGGGTGAAGTTGTACTGTTCTCTGTGGCAGGACTGTGAAAACAGTGAAGCTTTTCTTCAGGTTACCGGCGTCTTTCTCTGGAGAGCTTCATTGCGGAAGACTCAGAATACAACAACAAGCTCCAGGAATTAACGAATAGTGTTGTTTTTGAGGGTCGTTATGTTGTAAAGATATTTTTTTCCGAGAGATCGTTACCATCTGTTTAGAAGTTTTCCTATCAACTTCCATATCTGTTCATGTTTTCAGAATTCAGAAGTGCTGATGCCATTGGCACTTTTTATTACCAGTACGCGACCAACCAAATCGCAGAAATATTACAGCTGCCAACATAAGTGAAACTGATCAATTTGTACCAGAAACCGCGAGGACAATAAACCATCGAGTAAAATACAAAAGTGATCTCGTTACATATCGGCCTTGCGGGAACATTTCATTAATACTATTTTGAAGTGACTCACATTTTTTACCACTCTATATTCGGTGGCTTTTAAGATTTCGTCGGCAGCGTTTTGAACTTTCTTCTCATGTAACAGCTGATATGGGGTTTGTCCGTACTGTGGAATGTTGACGGCTTCCTGTGGGGTAAGAAATAGGTTTTAATTGAGGACGGAGTGTCTTGAGTTAACTCGCTACTTTTATCCAATTCTATGTGGAATGCTTTGTAGTATAGTCTTAGGCTACAATATACGGCAGCAAGTCCCCTTTATTGCAATGTGTTGTGAAAAAAATCAGTGATAGGAGGAGATAAACCAGTTGGCCCCAAGAATGGATTTTGATCAGAAAACTTAAGTAATGTGGTTTTTTAATTTGTTGCAAGAACAACATTCATAAACGAAGAGGCCGTCACGTGTTTCCGCGTCCTATGTTATTTTGCATCTCTGGTGGGACGTTTCACAAAACCTTATAACTTTGCTGCGTTTTAAACCACAAGACTATCGAATTCACGTTCTGTAAAGTGTTGATGTACATGTCTTCATCCAACGCAGTTGAATTGCTGGTAAACTTCTTGTGTACTAATATAAGGAATCCTCAACTAATAACTTTCTGGTGTTTGTTTCCACTTGCAGTGCTTCTATTCGTTTCACTCTTCAGGGTTTTTGCACAAGTGTTACTTCAGCGTGTACATTTTGAACCCATCAAACCTGTCACCTCCATGCTGATCTTTGTATGCACTGCATATATATTATACATTATATATTATATATACACATATATTTTCACATCGGTAAATGTGGAACTTCTAGAATTGTCCGTGTGTCCTTTAAAAGCCAATCAAATGCGTTGGAACCCACGCCAATACTTTTTGATAACAACAATCGGGTTAGATCACAGAAAATAACTCAGGACGCCGAACTGGATCAACAAAAGCTTTCTTGACTCCTTCATTTACTGGACATTGTTGACCTTTTACAGCCAATATCAGCCTTATCTGCTTGTCGAAAACTCCGGTGTTCCTCAAAGGGATAGTATCACACACCTTATGCTTTCTAAGTATATTAGACATCCTTCATTGATTCTTACTCAGTTCCAGTTAGCATACTATCGTCTCCTAATATTCAGGACTCCTTGTAGCACCAGAACGCATTTACCGACCTTTAAACTTTGTCTTTCGCGTGGTATTTCAAGTGCAAATTGTCTAAATGTTTGTTTAAACGTTAACAGTAGTTACCATAAGGAAAGTCGCGAAGCATTAGTGTCAGCGCTTGGACCATCCTGAAATCCTCTGTAAAGTGCTGAAGTAGAATTTCAACTCAGAACTTGTATCCAGAATATTTAGAGGGATAATTTGGAGGACTGGTTGTTATTACATTTATTACCCTAGAATGGGTTTACTGACTAGTTGGTGGTGTTTGAAGGATTTGTAGAATTCAAGTTCACGTCACTTTCTTCTGAGGGATAGCCCAGTGATTACAGCACGAACTTACTGACTGGAAGGTCCGTGTTTCGGAAGTGACCTCTGCCTCCCTACTTCTCCTATCTAAGCTGGGCAACCCGCTCTGCCTCCCTACTTCTCCTATCTAAGCTTGGGCAACCCGACAATATCTCAGCCTTCGAGCTGCTTTCTAACGGCATAGAAGCTAGGCATCGAAAGGGTGTTACAGCTGAACGAATATTTTTATTTACTACTTTCTTTTGAAAAAAACAGCAGCATCTAATTAAAAATTATCCGCGTGGTTGCGTCTTTGGGGCTACCTCACTTGGAAGGTCTGACAGGCTGATCAGTCAGTCAACACAACCAAAACAACTACTGGGTCGTCGTTCGAGTCGTCAAACAAACCAGACAGATCGCTCGTGAGTGAGTCCTAAAGATTTCAATGTGTCTAGGGTGCACCTGTGGAGTTGTAACGCGTTCGTCTTGAGCGTCAGATGTGTGGATTTCAAAGCCTCGCATGGCAAAGGAATCGCGTTATTGACGAGCTCTAATAAGAGAGGAACTCGAGCCCAGAGATTCTCGTTTGCTGTGGACTCATCAGGAGAGGAGAACGACTATTCAAATGAGCGTGATGAGGATGTGGGTTTACTGTCTTCTGATCTCTTACTCGACAGCAGATAGTGTCTGTCAAAGTATTCATTCAAATGGCCCTGTCTGACCTGTACCATCTCTGTGCTGTCCCGTATTTCCAAGCATTCCGTGATTATTGGTAGTTACTTCTGGAAGATTTTGCTAGACGCCCACGGCACCCTAAACTTTCAACGTCCACCATGGTGGGAGCTAAACGCCGTTTAAATTAATTTTTACGCATACAATTGTTCGCACCTTATTTATCCTGCACTTTCACGAATGTCAAGGTTTCCTAATGAAATATTAAAGCCAGTCATTTGGATTTTTATATTCTTGAGTCACTGGTTCTTTATTCACTCCTTACTTGGAAGTTCTGCCTAATTCTTGGATCACGAACCTCCACAGAACGTGGCAAGGCATTACACACTAATTGCGCATTAAATTAACAGTGGACCACCAATTACCACCGCACATGCACACAAACAGTCTAAGAGATTCTGTCGGGCGCTGCAGAGCAGTAGCGTGAAAACTAGGTGTCACATATGCGACACCGTGTGAATAATGGACATTCCGACCAACTGCTTCGTGATATCTGGTTGAATTACTCCCCGTTGTGAACTTTTTCCGTACCTTTCCAAGTTTTAGTTATGTGCATAGTTTCACTACATCGGCATCGATTCTTAGGTGGCTGAGAACTACTCTCTACACACACTGATTCATACACTAGCATTACGTGGAATTCAGATGAATTTTTCTCCAACGTTTGCAGGTACTTTGATGAAAAAACAATTCGACCGGCATACGGAACGATTCTGTCGGGCGCTGCAGAGCAGTAGCGTGAAAACTAGGTGTCACATATGCGACACCGTGTGAATAATGGACATTCCGACCAACTGCTTCGTGATATCTGGTTGAATTACTCCCCGTTGTGAACTTTTTCCGTACCTTTCCAAGTTTTAGTTATGTGCATAGTTTCACTACATCGGCATCGATTCTTAGGTGGCTGAGAACTACTCTCTACACACACTGATTCATACACTAGCATTACGTGGAATTCAGATGAATTTTTCTCCAACGTTTGCAGGTACTTTGATGAAAAAACAATTCGACCGGCGAAAATACGGAACGAATTTTTCAACGTGGAATGCCACACTGACACTTTCGTTGCATCTTCGTCTGGTTACAAATGGACCGGTCTGGGTGTCACCTTCTGCGTTACGTCACATTACTCCCACTATGGTAAAACTAGAAACCGAAAACTTCAAACATAGGACGGTATGACCGTATGCGTAAAAGGACAGGCCGTACATCCATTGATGTATACTCATCTTTCCATTCGCATGCAACCGGTTCACAGATCAGGAGAGTTACGTTTACAGTTACTGTACCTCGTCCCAAGAAAAAATAAACATCGTCAAAGTCTCGATGAGATACTTCACCATCCGCATGTGTTTTTCTTCCACCTCTTCGTGCTTAATCATCTTCATCATCATCTTCACCATCATCATCATCATCGTCATCATCTTCGCCATCATCAAAACCAACATGATTATCCTCAGTATTATGATCATCATCATCGTCATCATCATCAAAGACAGCAACATCAGTGTTGGCACTGATACTTCACTGCCGTACATGCTCACTATCCCACTAGAATCACCTGAGAATGTTGCTTGAGTACACCATCATCATCATCTTCACCATCATCAAAACCAACATGATCATACTCAGCATTATCATAACTTTTTACTTACGAAAAAACAGATAAGCAACTTAAACACTGCGATCAGTATTTCCAAAAAAAAACCGCCGCGACAGCAGTACAGCTGTGGATAGAAACGACGCATAAACGGAACAAGTTTGAAAAGGGAATGTTGATGCTGTTCTGGTATTTGGAGAGCTGTCATCTGCAAAAACGTAAGCACCATGTCAAGGTGTTCTAGCACGATAATGGGAACTGTCTTGAAGCACATATTTGTGGGTATCTTATCAGATTTGATGTTCCACATGACTCAGCACCTGAACGGAAAATAACCACGACCTGTATAGAAATTCCAATTGTTAGTTATCGGTATGTTAGCCAGTAAGAGCGATGTCCTGTTGTGTAGTGAGCAACGTGGGAGTGCAGTCACGCGGATCTCACAGGGGAGGATGTACCACTCATATTCATCTGCTTGTACCAAGTGATATCCCCGTACTGGAATTTATTTTGAAGTATGATCCAGATCATATTTATTTACTTATTTATCTTTGCAACATCTAACTGGTAGACACCTTTCAAGTGCAGCATGTGGTTAACACATGGTGCCTGTAGGATGAAAAACTATGAAGGTTCATTGTTTGTTCAATCAGGAAGTCATTTCTGGTGACAGATTCTGAAGACAGAGGATTTCGTATAGGTTTAAACCTTTTACAACCGATTAGTATGGCTTACTCACTCACAAAATCGCTTATTTGGCTTGGTAAGGTCGAAAGCGAAAAGATGAGCTTTTTTCAGCTAGGAGAATTGCACAGAAAAACTCGGCAGTGTCAGCCAGCTCATAAACATAAAGCAATTGGACAATAAAAGTCACATAACTAGAGAGAGAGTTGGGGAAATTGAGAAGCCTCGTATGTCGAGTTACAGCCTGGGAACAATGAGGTTGAGATAAATCATATTTGTTGTGTATTTACATATTACAGATCAGGTTAGCCGGTACCTAACCTGTTTTTCTTTGTAATTCGTTCACAATCTACAAGGTTCCTTCTGACTTGACACAATTATCTGAAACCGTAGTTACTTAGTATTGACATTTTTATCGTGTAACTTTACTCCTGTCAGTCTCTGTGTCAATTCTGATGATCTTGGTTGTTACTTTGAAAAGTATTGGGGGTCCTTGCCTCACTGGCAGCTGAAAATCCTGTTCACCTTTATTCTTCTTTTATTTTGTGTAGTAATTTCCACACACATTCCACAGCCAGAAGTAGGCTGCACAAAATCGTATGTTAGCAATAATATCGTGCATGTATCATGCGTACGTGAGATTGAGTCCATGCTTAGTACCAGCACACATAAAATAGTTATTTCAGGCGATATTTTGCGAAATACTTGGGAAAATGCTTCTGAATGGGTGAATACAACTGGCTCAAGGTTTCTGGGACCATGTATGAATCATTGGGTGCCACGGGATTTCGTGACAATTCTTTCGCTCAGAAAATAAAAGGGAGATATAAGCGTTCTCTGCCACGGTTTACATTCGAATTTGTCCTCAAAATAGCCTAGTTACCTTTGCACCTTCACACAGTGAGTTCATCCTGAGGAGAATCATTATGCTTCGTAGTGTCCAAAATCCACAAACTTCGTCATAGGCATAACTGGTAGAGGGTGAAGTTTAACTACAGCTTTTGCTCATTCAGCCGACGGAACCGCCCGTTAGCTTTCAAGACCACAGGTTGGAGAAGATGCACCGTAGATCACGAGCAAGGCCAACAGCCTCGTCCTCAAACTTGATGCAGGCGCAGTTACAGGACCCTATACTACGGAACACTCCAGCCTTCTTGTTGGACGGTAGAATTATTATGGACACGTTGGTAGACAAATAATTGTGGATATCACGGCACTGATTCGATAGACCAAGTCTAAATTAATCGCTGTATTATCTTAGAGATCTGAAGACTGTCTATGATACCCTATGAACATAACAGGAAAGTGACTGTCAAATACTGAAAGCAACATTCGAGCTACATCAGTACATTAGGCTTGCTTCAGTAGACGATCTACTCGTCAGGGATGGGAAGGATGTACTAAACTATATCGTAACGTGTAAGCAGTGCCAGTTGACAAGGGCGGACACAACAGAAGTAACTCACCCAGTAGGACCTATTCTTATGTAATAAATCGGTGAGCTATGGTCCTCCAATGTCAAGGGACTCTTCCAGGTGACAATCGGTGGCAATCAGTAAGTTGTGGTAATGACAAAACACCTTTCGCGATGGTGTGGTAATGACAAAACACCTGTCGCGATGGATCAAGGCGGTAACAGTAACAAGTCAGCGGGTAACTACGATCAACGGAATGATGATTCGCGATATTGTGGTGAACAGAAGGATGCCAAAGGTGGTCTTTCGAGATTAAGCAGCCACGCTCATAAAGTGAAGAAACCAGGAGTTGCTTGTCGCAGCTCGGTATTGCTCAGCTAAGGACGGTACCCTGCAGCTAACAAACCGCGTTTCTAGGGAAACGCAACAACCGAACTGCCAACGAATGACTGGCTCCCAAAGGAGACGACTGGGAATTAAACCAACTTCTGGTTTTGTTAGTCAACCCAGTTATCCACAGGTAGATCACCATTTATTTGATCTACCGTAGCAACCCACACTTCCCCGATGATAAATAGATCGGGTTATAGACGACTACAAGCTTGTTTCCAGAAGAGTTTAAATAGCAAAGGAGAGAGACGAGCAAACTGGACAGCTTTCAGGGAATTTGCAACATCTAACTGGTAGACACCTTTCAAGTGCAGCATGTGGTTAACACATGGTGCCTGTAGGATGAAAAACTATGAAGGTTCATTGTTTGTTCAATCAGGAAGTCATTTCTGGTGACAGATTCTGAAGACAGAGGATTTCGTATAGGTTTAAACCTTTTACAACCGATTAGTATGGCTTACTCACTCACAAAATCGCTTATTTGGCTTGGTAAGGTCGAAAGCGAAAAGATGAGCTTTTTTCAGCTAGGAGAATTGCACAGAAAAACTCGGCAGTGTCAGCCAGCTCATAAACATAAAGCAATTGGACAATAAAAGTCACATAACTAGAGAGAGAGAGTTGGGGAAATTGAGAAGCCTCGTACGTCGAGTTACAGCCTGGGAACAATGAGGTTGAGATAAATCATATTTGTTGTGTATTTACATATTACGGTTAGCCGGTACCTAACCTGTTTTTTTTTGTAATTCGTTCACAATCTACAAGGTTCCTTCTGACTTGGCACAATTATCTGAAACCGTAGTTACTTAGTATTGACACCATAGTGGCCCTTGGGATGAACGCAAGAGTACATTGCTTGGCAACTGTTGACACGCGCTAAGGGGGCATATGCCGGGCCTTATGTTCCATTTAGTCAACGAATTGATCAAAACCCGACATAATGGATTTCAGTGAACAACCAAGTGACAGGATAACAGACCTAACTTGGAAGACTTGGGTAGCCGACCGCCTTAACTGGTGCGGAATATTTCATTGGCGAATTGCTTGGTTTTAATCGTTCCCCTAGCAGGCAGCTTAACCCAAATAAAAATGAGGTTTCAAATAAATGCATGTACTCGGGACCCACAGTCTAGATGGCATCGAAGTTATGGTGTTACCTTAGGACCGCAAGGCACATTGTTCCAGTCCAATCTCTGCCCCTGTCTAAGTTTAGGTGACTTTGCAGTATCTCAGCCCTCGTGCTTTCCTCTGGTGGGATGGTAGCTAGGCACCGAAAAGATGCTACAGCTGAGCGATACACACCCAGGTCCTAAAACCTAAACCATAGCTTTGATCCGCCACTGTCTCTAATTCATAAAAACCCAGACGTGCTATTCTGCTTCAGCCTTTGAGGCAATTTATCACCTGTTCTACTTGCAGGATATCAAAAAAATATAGCATGAAACTAAAATCGCTCTTAGTACTTCCGTCATGATACCTTTGTTTTGGCATTCGACATTTCCTTAAAATCTCCGTACCACATATGACGTCACTAAATCTTGGTTTCGTATGCAAATTTATTTTCGGCTCTAGCCATTCCACCGACAGTTAGATTACACTATCATTTCAAAGACTAAAATCAACGTCTTTCAGCACAAAACGTATCACATGTATTTTCTACTTTATCAGATTCAGTAGTACCATAAACTGCTTCTGTAGAAGATACGTTTGTCAATCTAAACAAACAACCCGAAGACAATCTATTCAGTGTCGAAGAATTGCATGTCCTGAGATATACGAAGCGCAGAGCTGGAGGAACAGGATTCTACACCGCGAATTCAATTTAGTGTCTTTAACTCTCCAGATGCTGGTGTCTACAGAAAATTTGCACGTTTACATTGCGTTTCATAATGAGCCTGAATTCATCTAACTGGAAGACTGTGACCACGCCCGTGTGAGAAACATCGTAACCGTATGACTCATGCTCTGCACTGATATCCCAACGGCTTCGCCCACAGAAGGCGCGAAACGCTTTTTCACTAACCGGAAAAGCTCCTTGAGCCACCGATTACTTGCTTGACGTACATATCGTATTGATGCCACTATGACACTGAAATTTACTATGTCAGGGATCAGTTTAAGTTGGTAAGTTAGATTCAAAGACCCGCGCAACTCTGAATGGCTATTTGATATTCCACCCTGTCAACGGGCTAATAGAGTATATCAGTTATGAAGAGTATTCCTGCCCGGGGGCATAGCATATTTTCCGTTTGAAATGACTCACTGAAATCCAATAGACCAAAATCAAAACTTGCTATCCACCTACCCCAGCATGTTCGAGTGAACGTAAAGACATATTTGGACAACGTCAAAGATAAAAACAATCCATGATTTGCTTCACTTTTTATTAACCTTTTACTCTCGGATAGTGTTCTACTTAAGGAAATAAAATAGAGTCAATAGGGTCCTCTTGATATATTATGGTAACCCTCTGAATTGGCCCTCTACGAAGAGAGAGAGAGAGAGGCGAGGTACCGAATTCCAACCGACATGGACTAGTTCAGCTAATCTTTTATCCCATTCCTAGTGATTTTTCCTTGATAAAGCGTGATAAACGTCAGAAACTATAAAACATATGGAAACTTTTCAGATGGGCACAAGAAAAGAAGTTGAAATTAATTTATCCAGAGAGAAAATCATTTGAATGCCAAAAAACGAACTGCAAATGCGGCCTATGAGAAATCGCTTACTTTCAAGTCATTTATGTAAGTATCAATCGATTCTTGTTGTGAACGATAATCCGGGATGATCTGTGCATATATTCGACGAGCCATGACCCACTAGAGTATGGAAATTAATTTCCTGGTTTCACAAAAGTCCAACAAATGGAACTTCTACTTGAGAGGAAATGGTGCAAAGGTGATTGGTTTCTTCTTCATTATATACTTCCCAGGTAACGCATTCTTCCTGCTGCTTACATTGCTAAAAAAGACGAGACTGCTTTAGTCGTCAGCTGATCCGTCAATCGTCCTGCGGTGATGAATGACAAAAATGCTGTTTGATGAGTTGTGTTGTGTAAATATATTGGGTATTGTTGATCTGACGGAGCGGGATGCACCAGTCGGATGGTGCTATACCGTAGTGCTGTTAAGAATCCACCGTCTTCATGCCAGTGATTGGCGAATCATGATGAACGGGATAAGATTTTGTTATGCAGACCATTCCGGAAACATATTTTCGTACATAGAAAGCACTTCTGTTAGAATGTAGGTTTTCATTGACTGAGAGGTTTCGATTCGGGAGGAAGGAACAATGGCATAAGTCGTTTTAAACGCCTTGTGCGTTCAGCTGACAAACACCTAAGTACTCACAAAGGTTCTATCATCTTTTAAGGAGTTAAAGCTGCGGTAATTCAGTGGTCTTCTACATACGTTGGGCGAACTAAAAATGTGACTACACACTTCTGTTCGAGTGCAGTTTCCTAGCTGTTCACCTACGAGAATTATTTTTAACTTGGTATGTGAAAAATCCCGAGAAAACCCCTTGTTCGTATGCAGTCATACTGACGGAAATAAAGCGGTTCAGAGCGCAGTAATCGTGCACCTACATAAAGTCACACGGTGTGTTCAAATTGAATATTATTAAGGTGCATGACCATCAGGTTTCTGAAGGATGTCACCTGCATGTCTAACGAAGTGCGGTTCCTTTTACTTTCTAAATAAACTATAGAGTGTTTGCTCAACACAAGGTCTCACGGAGCCTCGGACCAGGCTTTCGTGCTGCGAGTGTNAAACCCCTTGTTCGTATGCAGTCATACTGACTGAAATAAAGCTGTTCAGAGCGCAGTAATCGTGCACCTACATAAAGTCACACGGTGTGTTCAAATTGAATATTATTAAGGTGCATGACCATCAGGTTTCTGAAGGATGTCACCTGCATGTCTAACGAAGTGCGGTTCCTTTTACTTTCTAAATAAACTATAGAGTGTTTGCTCAACACAAGGTCTCACGGAGCCTCGGACCAGGCTTTCGTGCTGCGAGTGTTGCCCTGTAACAAAAGGCAGAGTAGCACAGTATTGGTACAGAAGTCAACATCCCACTAATCTCCCGTGAGCCTTAATTTTTTTACAGTCAGTTATAGTAGCCGGACTGACAGACTCGAAACGGCAGGAACTTCTCACCATCAAAGGTAAAGTGATGGTGGAACAGGCGGTTGTTTCGATCTTATGGGGCTGCACAATGCAAGTGGTGGATAACAAAGGCGAAGCCCGTTCTCAGTCAGCAGGTCTGAATAATTCGTATGGTGCGTAACAGAAGGTTCTCCGATAAAGTTCAGACCGGTGCCAGGATTCATACAAAGTTACTGTATCCAAAGTACACCACAATATCATATCTGACATAAATGTGAGTTGAGTTGCTGACCGTGTGAATAGGATAGGGTGTCTAGGTTGTAATATCACCAGTAAAGAATAACGATGACGGTCCCTGGATTCCATGTTCCTTTTACAAACGCGAACTGGACTTCTTTATGCCAGATGTGAAGCTAATATGGATGGACATCTGCATGTACATATGGTGTTTATGGTGAAAGGAAAAACCGAGCTTAAATTCCTGTGAAGAAAAAAGACCTCTGGATCACACAAAGGCGTACTGTGAAATCATCTAATGCCCATAGTCATAGGAAGAAGGGGTAGTAGATATAGTGTAAAATCCCCATTAGAGGAAAATATTTCAGGACAGAGAGCATCCGACCGGAAATCAGTGTTCAAATAGTGTACACCAAAGATTTTTTACCACGCAAGTTACGATGGCACTACCAATATCGCCTGAGTCGACCAAAACAACCCCGTTGTTTCAGAGCTAAGCAGTGGGAATCCCCCAGGACTGGATGTCAAAACACCCCATAGGAGCGTTGGAAGGAAGTTTGGGATGACTATAGTTAGACGAGTAAATACAAGCAGCATTTAATCCCCCTTTCCAACTTGAATCTATCACAAATGGAGGTGAAAGGGGCATCCCAGCCTCTCGTATCTAAATCTAGAATATGCCATCGGGAACAAACTTG